TCGTTCATCACCGCTTGCATGTAAATATCTTCGCCGTAGCTAATTTGATTCTGGAGTCTCATTCCCCCTAGAAGCTATTGGCTGTGGTTACTATACAGCCCAAGTTGTTAACTGACATATTTACAATGATATAAATTGCACTGTTGAGTCACGGTTGTTATTTTCACATATTTATCATATGGTTGTGTCGTACGGTATTGCTCGTGTGGTGGTTGGTCTATACTCCAACGACAAGTGTATTCAACTTAACCATTTTATTATTCGGAAATTGCCTCTGTCTCTCGTCACATGTAATATGTACAAATATGTTAAAACTCATATTGCATTTGTTTTTGATGGCCTGCGGTCAGTCAAAAGATTCTAACATAGATCACAATTTGATGCAGTTACAGAATCAGCTGAGATGCTATGTTGTGATAAGGAATGGTATTAAGACATTAGGTATTGTGAGTGGTTTTGCAGCGTATGTGATAAAGGATAGGACAGGTGTTATGGTCTACGATTGTTTAAGTTGGGGGGTGGGTTGTTTGAGTAGATGAATAGTTATACGGATTGTGGGGGGTGGGGGTGGAAGGGTAATGAATGTGGGATAAACAGGGTATGTTGAGTGGTTGTGAGGTAAGGGGGATTATAGATAAGGAGATGTTAATGAGGATGTTGTAGGGGTGGTGTTTTATGAGGGGTTAAAAAGTTAGGGGGTTGAATGGTATAAATTTGGTGGGGGGGTAGTGTTTGGATGTGGGGGTTTTTTGTTTAGTTTATAATCTAATGAATAAATGGTTTTGGATATAGTGTAAGTTTATTTTTGATTTAGGTTTGGTTTATAGGGAATAGGGTTTGGGTTAAGGATTATGTTTGTTGATTTTTGTGGAATTGGTATGTGTGAGAGATGGTGGTATAGATAATATATGGAAATGATATTTTATTTATGTATGTGAATTGACAGTAATTAGGTGCATAGTAGTTAGGATGGTATGGTTGGTGAGTGGTTGGGCACTGCAAAGTGTGTGATAGCATGTGTGATTCCTTTGGGTTAAATATATGTTACAGGCGGGGGGTGGTGTTGTATGTAAATTTTTTGGGCTGGAAGGTATATATCCTCTGAAACAAGGTATTGGGTTATGCCCAGTATTTATCACATTGGGGGGGCAACTCTATTGAGTATGTCCTGATAGAGATTCTAGGATGTGATTGGAGTAATTAGTTGTAATTCGTATAGTTTACTCAGGGTTATTGGGGGGATGGGGAATGTGGGAAATGCATGATGGGTTTATACATTTGTTGTGGGAATTATTGATGGGAGGGGAGGTGGACGGAGGCTGGGGGGGGGTGTAGGGTTATGTCATGAGGGGGGAGGGGGGGGGGGGAGTGGGTTTAGGGGCATAATAAATCTATATGAGGGGAGATGTACTACAGTGTTACTTCCGGGTGCTTATAAACGATGGGATGGAGAATGGTAGGTGTATGATTTATTGGAGTGGAATGTGTAGCTGAAAGGAGAATGAATTTATGTCAGTTGGGTAGGAAAGGTTTTGAACTTAAAGTAGTTGATAATGATCTATAGTAGGGAGGGTAGAGGATGAATTTGGGTTTATGGGAGTTGTAAGGGTTTGTGAATTGTTAGGTGGCAGTGGGATGTTAAGGGAGAAGAATAGAAATAGGGAAGAGGGTAGAGGTTTAGAAAGGGAAAGGATTTGGGGCAGGGAAGGACATTTATGATAGAAATGGGGGGTGGGCGGGAGGGTTGGGTTGGATGCAGAACTAGTGATTTAGAAGTACAGAAGGGGGAAGGGGGAGAATGGTATAGGAAAGAAATATTGATGGGGGAGGTAGAGGGATTTGTTAGAGGGAGAGTTTATCAGATGGGGGAGGGTATTGTGAGTTAGATTATATTGGGGGTTGTTCGTTAGGTTGTTTGGTGTGAAGTGGTGGGGATGGTTAGATTATTGGGGGGGAATGGGTTTTAGTGGTTTGAGGGGGATAGGGTGTTAAATAAGTTGTTGGAAGAAAGAAGGTGAGATGATAGGGGGGAAGAAGTTTTATTTTTTGGAAGTAGGGGAATAAGATGTGTTAATAAAATAGATGGGTAGGGAGGGAGGAGATTGTTGCTTGTGAGATTGATGGGGTGGGTGGGTAGATATAGAAGGGTGGTATTATATGGGGGTTGTAAGAATATGTTATTTTTGGTTTGTATATAGTGATGATAGATGGTTAAGGGTGTAGTGTATTGTGGTCATTATATGGGAAAATTGGGTTTAAATGGTTTAGAGTCGGATGATTGGGTGATATTATTAATGTGATGTGGTATGGTGTGTGATTAGTCTGAGTGTGTGTGTTTTGAGTTGTGTGTGATAATAGGTTGGTAGTAGAGTGGTTTTTTTTGGTGTGTTGTTAGAATTTTTGGTTTTGGTTAGGTATGGGGTTAGTGATGTATGTTTGGGTGTTAGTAGTTAGGTTAGGGATAGGGTGATGGTGGTTAGGTTAGGGTTAGTGGGATGTTTTTATGGATAGGATATTAAAGGAATTTTGAGGGTAGGGATGGGAATTATTTTTTTTTATTTGGGGTAGATATAGGAGAATATATGAATTGAATAAGTGATGGGAAAATGGGTGAGGAAAAGGGTTTGTGGGGGGAGAGAATAGGTGGGGATGTATAGGGGTGGGGAAGGGGTGTTGTAGGGTTAGGGGGTGGGGTAAGTATTAGGGGTATTGTTTGTGGTAGTGGTGTGTGAGTAATAGATGTTATAGGTGGATGTGGGGGGGGTGGGGGGGGGGGGGATGGTTGAGAGATAGTTAGAATGTATATGTAGGAGTTGATTAGTATTATTGAAGGTTTTAGAAAGTGTGTTTGTTTATGATTGTGTTTTTTTTTTGTTTTTTAATTTTGGGTGGGTAGGGATTAGGTTTTATAGGTTTTGATATGATTTTGTATTGGTATTTTAAAATTTGGTGTAAGGGGGGGGAAGGTTGGGTGTTTTAGAAAGAATGTTTGGGTGGAAATAGAAGAGAAGGAAGAATTAGGGGGATTGTATGAGGGGAAGGGATGTTTGTATTAGAGTGAGGATAAAGATGAGGTGGATTGTGATTTTGAGGGTGGAGTGAGGGGGGTGGTTTTTTAAGTAATATGAAGTGGGTAATGTAGTGTGATGGTAAGGGTGGGAAGGGAAAGATGAAGAGGGATGTGGGGGAGATGTAGGAGAGGATTTGAAGGAGGTTTAAGGGGTAAGAAAAGAATTAGTAGGTTTAGGTAGTGGATTTTTTGTTTAGAAGAGGGTGGAATGATTTGGTGGTGATAGGGTAGGGTTGTGTTGTTTGTTTGTTGGAATGGGTTTTGTTGGAAGAGAATGTAGTGGAAGTGGAGTGGTGAATTGGGATGGGAGTTGGGTAGGAGGGTAGGGGGGATTTTTGGGGATTTAGGATGGTGTGTTTGTTGTTTTGATATGGGAGGTGGTTGATTGGAAGTTAGTGGGGGTGTATGGGGGGTGGAATATGGTTTGAAAAGGTAAGGGGATTTTTTATAAGTGGGGTGGGGTTTGGGTTTGATGGATTTTTTATAGTTTTATGTTTTTTTGTTAAGTGTGTTATGGTAGGGATGGGGGGTATAGGGATGGTAAAGGGATGGTTTGTGGGAGAATGTGAAGGGTGACAAAGGGGTGATGGTTGGGGTAAGGGTATTTATGTGTAATGAAGAAAAGGTATTGGGTATGATTATTGGGGTTTTATAGATGGGTTGAATGGGGGGGATATGGGGAAGTATTGTTTAGATAGAGGGGGGGGGGGGGTTTTTGGGGGTGGGGATATTTATGATATGAATAAGAGGAGATAGGGATAAATAGTTGAGGGTATGGAAGAATTTATAGGTGGTTATATTTGGTATAGGATATTGTAATTGATATAATGGAGGGTAATGATAGAGGATGAGGGTTTGTTGGGGTGGGGATGTGTAGGGGTAGGGGTGAGGTTTTGAGGTTTATAAGGGTGGAGTGGTATGGTGGGTGTTTGGAAGTGAATGTTGGTGGATATGGGGGTTGGTGGAGGTTGTGATTTTTGTGGTTTTATTTAGGGGATTTGGGGGAGGTTGGGTGTTAAGGAGGGGAAGGGTTTGGTTTTTTTGATATGGATGTGTTGTTTATTTGGAGGGGGAATGAGATTTGAGGGGGGTTTTTGGGATTTGGTTTGGTGAAAGGTGTGAGAGTGTGTGTGGGGGTATGTGGGTGGGAGGTGGAAGGGGTTGGGGAATGTTGAGTTATGTGGGTGAAGGGGTGGAATGGGGGATGTGTTTATTGTGTGTGGTGTGAGGGTAGAAGGTTTAATAGGTAGTGTTTTAGGGAGATGTGGGATAATAGGTGTGAGTAATCTAAGGTGTGTTTTGGAGTGATTTTAAAATAAGGTTTGTTTTAAGTGAAGTATGGGAAAAGTATTTGGATTGGTTGTGGGTGATAAATATGGGAAGGGGTGAGAATGTAGGGGATGAGAGAAAGGAAGTTGTATGTGGGGTTGGTGATATATAATGGTAAGAAAGGGAGAGGTAAGGAAAATGGATTTATATGGAGATGGGGGAGATAGGGAAATTGGTATTTAAGGGTATTTGGGATTGGGAAATAGGTGGGGTAAGGTTTGGAGAGATTAGTGGGATAATTGGAGTGAATTGTTTAAAGGAGGGGGGTTGTATTGATATAAAGGATGGGTGGAATGTTTGTATTTTAATATTGGGTTGTGGGATGAGGGGTAGGGGTAGAGATAGGGTTTTGGTAGGGAGAAGGAGGGGGGTAGGGTTAGAAGAGATGGAAATTAAAGGGTGGGGGGATTTGAGTAAATGTTTGTGGGTGGATGGGGTTAAGGGTTGGTGTGTGTGTGGGGGAGTGAGGGTGAGGGGGAGTTTGGGATATTGTTTTTGATATTAGGATAATTAAATGAGATGATATGTTGGGGGGTGGGAGGATAGATTAGGTTAGATTGGAGTAGATAAATAAGGGGGTTGGTGGATATATTATGGGAATATGGGAGGTTTGGGTTTGTTTGTGGAGGATAGGATAGTTTTGGTGGGGGTGGGGGGTGTATGGGGGTGGTTTGTAATAAAAGAAAAGATGGTAGGTATGTTGGTATTTGGAGAGGGGTGGTTGGTTTATGATGGGTTCGGGGTAGGGGGTGAGAATTGTAGGGTGGTGATTGTATATGGGGAGAGGGTGGTTGGGAGGAAGTTAAGGGTAGGTGATGGGAGGGTAGGGTTGGGGGGTAGTAGGTGGGTGTGTTTAGAGGTAAGATGTAGGGTGAGGGGTAAATATTGGAATAAGGGATATGATAAGAGGTGGATTAATGATAAGTTTTTTATATGGTATATGTTATTTAGTTTTGATGGGATTGTGAAGTTGGGAAGTTTATGAAAATTTTGTTTTGGTTTATGGGGGGGGGAGGGGGGGGGGTAGAGATTTTTGGAGAGTATGGGATGGGGGATGGATAGAATTTATAGGGGGTGTTAGTGTGGGTGAATAGTAAAGATATAAGGTATGTGGATATTAATGTAGTGTGGAAAAAAGAATAATAATATTTATATATAATTAGAATGGAGTGGGGGTTGGGGAGGAATTGGTATATTATATGGTGAAGGGTATGAAATGAAGAAAATAGGGAATAAGGGGAAGTTGGAGTAATGATATGGTAATTTAATGGAAAGGGAGAGGTAGGGATGTATTGAGGGGAGGTGTAAGGATGGTTTGGGAATATTTGGTTGGGATGGTGATGATGTTGGGTGAGGTTGAGGTTATTGGGTATTATGTGATATGGGGGTGGGTGATGGGAAATGGATAGAAAGAGATGGTAGAGGTGTAGGGGTTTTCGAATTGATGGGTGGTGGGTGGGTGGTTTATTTTAGTTAGATTGTGTGTGGGTGGGGGGGTGGGTGAAGATTTTGGGAAAGGAATGGGTATGGGGGGAGATTATAAGTGAAGAATATGAAGGGTTTTATGATTGTAATGGGGGGATAGTGGAGTGGGTTGGGATATGTTTGAGGGGGTGTGTGGGGGGGGTGGGTGGAAGGTGTTGAGGGGAGGTGGGGGATTTAGGTATTTGGGGGTTGGTGTGGTTGGTTAGGGTAGGGGGTTTGAATTGGGGGTGTTTTATGTTAGGGGGAGGGTGGGTGGGGTGGGGTTGAATTTGGTAGGGGGTGTATTGTTGAGAAAGGGGTGGGGGGGAGTGGGAGGGGAGTTGGTTTAATGGGTGTTGTGTGGAGGGATGTGTAGGAGTGAGGATTTGTGTGGTGATGGGAGGGATATGGTTGGGGGGGTTGTGTGGGGTCGTTGGAATATGGGGGGAGTTGATTTGGGTTGTATATTGATAATGGGAATTTAGGGAAAGGTGGGTGATGGGAGGGTGGGGAGGGGGATTGAGAGGATTGGGGTTATGGAGGTATTATTTGTGTATTTATTGTATGTTGTGGTGGAGGTTGATGGGGTGGTGGGGTGAGTGGTGGTGTATGGGTGGTGTGGGGGGTTTATGAGGGTGGGGGTATAATGTATTATGAGGTTAGGGGAGTTTTGGTTGGAGTGAAATAGTAGATAGGTAGTGGGTGGGAGGGGGGGGAGAGATATTTATATGGAGTATAGGGTGGGTTGTTAGTGATTAAGATTATTGGTAATTGTGTGTGGTGAGGAGGTTGGTTTGAGGATTTGTTGAGTGGTGTTAGTTTGGAGGGGGGGTGAGGATTTTTTTTATTTAGTATATGGTGGGGTGTTTGTATGATGTTATTGGTGGTGGATAGAATTATATTAAGGTGGGTTTATTAGATGTTGTGTTGGGGGGGGGAAGAATAAAGTGAGTTAAGTGTAAGTTGATGTTTGTATTTAGGGTTGGGTTGGTATTGGGTGTAGTGGTTTTGTTGGGTGGTGATTGGGTTTATGGGTGATGGTATGTTGTATGTTTTATTGGGGGGGGTTGGAGAGAGGGTTGGGGTTGGGTGAGGGAAGAAGGGGAATATATGGGGTGGTGGTGGTGATTTGAGAAGTTGAGTTATTATGTATATTATTGGTATATTTTTATGGGAATTAAATTAGGGTAAGGGATAGGAGAGTTTTATAGAATTGGTAGGGAAGGGGTGGAGTATATGTATTGATTTGAAGTGGAAAATGGGGGAGATTTGGGGTGGAGATGTTGGGTATGGGGGTGGGGTAGGATAAGTGGTGATGGTTATGATTGGTTTTGAGGTGGGTAGATTAGGGGGGGGGAGGGTGTGGGTTTTTAGTTTAATGGGAAATGGGGGATGGAGAGGTTGATAGGGTGAAGGATGTATGAAAGGGATGTTTGTAGTTTGGGGGGAGGGGGATGGGGTGGAGGAAGGGGTAGGGAGGAGTAAAGTAGATATATGTTGTGGGAAGGAGGTATGTGATGAGGTGTATGGGAATGAAAGAGGGATATGATTAGATAAAGAGTGAAGAAGAAGAAGGTGAGGGGAGAGTAGATAAAGTAAGAATTAGGAAGGAAATGGGTGAGGAATAGAAGAGGATGGGGGGGAGGATTGATATATTAATTTATGTTGTTGAGGGATATGGGGATGTGTTTTTATTAATGTAAAGGGTATGGTATGTTTGGGTAGAGGAGGGGTGGAGTAGGGTGGTGTCGTGGTTGGTTGTTAGGGAGAGGGTGGTTGATTGTTGGTGGGGTGAGAGTGGTATAGGAGTGGTGGGTGTTGTTTGGTTGGGTGTGTGGATGGGGTTATGTAAATTGGGTATGTAAATTTGAGAGGGTATTGGGATGTGGGATGTGTGGGGAATTGAAGGAATATATAGGGTGTATGTTAGTGAATTTATATAGGGTATGATGCGAATTATAAATGAATGTATAGAGAGATGGTATGTTGTAAGAGGGGGATGGGGGTGTGGGTTGGGGTTTAAGTGATAATTTGATTAAGTAAACAAAGGGATGTATGGTGTTATGATTTAGAATAGATGTTGGAAAGGTGAGGTAAGTGGATTAAAATGGTTAAGAGGGAGGTTTGGAAATTGGGGAGTTAATAGATATAAGGAAGTGGTGGTGTTTGATTGTTGGTGGTTTGGTTGATTGGGAGAGTAGGGATATGGGGGGGTAGTATTAAGGAGGATTGAGGGTGATTGGGAGGTATTGAGTTTTAGGATATAAGGGAGGTAAGATATGGAAAAATAGGGGTTTTAGTTTTGTAGTAGGGAATGGGGAGGGGTGTGGGATGGAGGGTGGGATGAGAGAATTATTATTATTAGGTGTTGGTTTTTGTTTTGTATGATTGTTTTATTTTATTTGTATTGGGTTTGGTGTGGGTTGGGTGTTTTGGTGGGTTAGGTGTGGATGAAGGGGGTTGGGGAGAGGGGAGTATGGGATTAGTGGGTTGGTGTGGGGTTAAAAGTTTAAAATTTTTGGGTATATATGGAATTGTATGGAGGGATGGATTATTTTGAGTAGGTGGGAAGTTGTTGAGGGAAGGGGAGGTGGGGGGGTGATAGAGGGGAGGGAGATATTGTTGGGAAGGGGGGTTGAATGGAGGTAGAAGGATGTGGTGGGGATGGGAGAGAAAGAAGGAGGTGGGGGGAATAGGGGGGGGGAAGAAGGGGGAAAAGAGATAGTTTTTATGATAATGTTGGAGGTTGTTGGTTGTGGGGGTTTGGGGGGGGGGGGTGAGTGAATGGGGGGGTGGTAGAAGGTGGATGATAAGGGGTTGGGGGGTTATTGTAGTAGAGGTTTATGGGTTTGGGGGGAGGGGGGGGAGTAAGGGGGGGGAGGTTTTGATAGTGTGTTTGTTTATTAGGTAGGATAGTTGTTGGTTGGGTGTGTGTGAATATATTGGGTGGGGGAGGAGTATTTTATGGAGGATAGAAGAAGTGATTGTTTGTATTAGAAAAAGTTTGATTGGTTGGTTGTTTGGATGGGGGGGGGGAGTTGTTTAGGGTAAAGTGGTGGGGGGGGGTGGGGATAGGATGTGAGGGGGATGGGTTGAGTGATGTAGGGGGAGTGGGAGGAGTGATTGTTTATTGAAGGATAGGAGGTGTGTGAATGTGAATTGAGGAGGGGTTAGTGAAGGTGATTGTGGAGAGGGAATTTTGGTTAAGAGAGGGAGGTGTGGTATAGATGGAATAAAATGTTGTTTATTATTAGTTATATGGTGGTGGGTGGGTTAAGGGTGGGAGATATTGTGAAATGGGAGGGAATGTATTAAGGAATAAGTAATGGAGGAGTGGGGGATGTTGGGGTGATGTTTTATATTAGGGGGTGTTTTTATTTATGAGGGGTTGGGGGTGGGTTGGGGGTTGATAGTTGGATGTGTAAGGATTTTATGTTATGAGGAAGGTTTTTAGTGTTGTTTGTGGATGAGGAGGGAGTGGGAGGTTGTTGTTTTGATTTGATATGGGTGGGGTGAAGTTTGTTTGGGAGATTGAGGGAGGTTGGGGGGGGGGTTGGGGGGAGGAGGGGGGTGTGTGAATAGGGAGTTAGATTGTTTGTTATAGGTGGTGTTATGTGTTTGAAGATTGGATTTGGTTGGGATATTTTAGTTTTTAAGGGGGGGTTAGGGGGGGGGTGGTTGTGATGGTGGGTTTGGGGGGTTATGGGGGAATGGGTGGTGTGGATGTTTGAGGTTGGAAGATGGATGGGGGGGTGGGTGGTTGGTGTTGGTGGGGAAGTGGGAGTGGGGGTGGAATAATTTTATATGAGATGGTGTGGGGGAGGGTTGTTGGGGTGGGGATGTAGTTGGGGAGGTAGTGTGGGGATGTTTGTGTTGGGTGGGTGGGGGGTGATTGATAATTTTAGGGAAGGAGAGTATTTGTGGTGGGGGTTGGTGATGTTGAAGTGTTAGTGGTTGGTGGTGGGGTGGGGATGGAGTTAAGATGAGGGATGAGGGAAGGGGGAGGATATTTCTGTATATAAATAGGAGTATGGTAAAGAGGGTGAATTTGAAAGGGAAGAAAATTGTGATAGGGGGGAGGAAGGGATAATATATTGTGGGGTTTTTGTGATGTATGGTGTTTGTTATAGAGAATGTAATTAATAGTATAATTTGGGGGGAAAAAAAAGTTAGTTGAAAAATTAGATTTTTTAAGAGGAAGTATATGATATAAAAAGTAAGAAGAATGGGGGTATGATGAAATTATATGTTGTTAGCTGTTTTAATAATTAACCAAATAAATAAAAACATAGAAAAAATAAGGTTGTTTATTTAGAATGTGGAGGGGGTTTGTGATGGGGTATGATTGGGGTTTTGTGGTTGTGTGAGTTATGAATATTTTGAATAGGGTAAGATGAATGGGTTGATAGGGGTTTGGGGGAGGGGGGGAGGATGGGATGGTGTATTTTTTGGGGGAGAGTTGTATAGAGAGAGTATTATATAGGTAGGAGGTTGTTGGAAATTGATGTTGGATGTGAACATGTTGAGTGTGGAGTTTGAATAGGTGGTTTGGGGGGGTGGTGATTTGGGTTGTGAGTGAAATTTTGTTGTGGGTGATTTTATTGATGGGATGAAATGAATTTGAAATGTTTTATTTGGGGTGGGGGGAATGTTATTTTGAGGGATGGGTATATGAAATGGAAGGATAGAGAAGGATAGGGGGTAGGGTTATGAATGTTATGAGAGAGTGTGATAGATTGTTTTTGGAGTTAGTTTTTTGAGGGGGGGAATGGTTTGTTGTGGGTTTTGTGGGTGGGTGGGGTTTATATGGGTGGTTGGAGGGGTTTTTTAGGGTTATGGATTAGGGAAATGGGGAAAGTTATTAGATTTAGATTGTGGAGGGAGGTGGGGGGGGGGTTTTATATGAATTAGATAGGGTGGTGGGGGTAAAGGATTTGTTTATAGTGTGGAGGTAAGGGGTTTGGAAAATTATATTTAGGGTTTTGGGGAAGGGGGGATTGTTGTTTATGTGAGGTTATGGTATGGTAGGGGGAATGAAGATGGTTTTTAATTGAAGGGGAAAGGTTGATTATTATGAAGGGGTGTAGGGTGGTGGTTAAGAGTGGTTATAATGGGGATATGGGGAGAAGGAGAGGTTTGGAGTTTAGGAGGGGGGAAGGTTATGGTTATATGATAAATATGGTGTTGGTGGAGGGGGGGGGGGGGGGGGGGAGTGGATTTGATATAGGGGAAGAGAGAGGAGAAATGGAGAGGGGAGTATGTTATGGGATGTAAATTTAAGGGGGTGGTTGTTCATTGGTATGTGTATGGGTTGAGGAATTTTTTTGGATTTTTTATTGGATGTTGGTGGGGGGTGGGGGTATTTGTGGTGTGGGATTTAGGTGGGGTGGGGGGTGGGGAAGGGGGGAGAGATGTGGGTGGTTAGTGGAAGGAGAGAGGAAGGGGGAAGGAATGGGGTTGTTTATGGAGTGTGGGAATTTGGAGAGGAGAATAGATGGAATATGATTATGGGGTATGTAATGATTTGGGATGGAATGGTGGGGTTGTTTGTAGAGTTGTAATTGATTGGTGAGGGGGTGTAGTAATAGGTGATGTGTAGTTTTTAAGGATTATGGTGTTTGGTGGGGGTATGGTTAGTATATAATTTTGGGGGGGTGGTTTGGGGTTGGGTGGTGATGAAGTGGGAAAGAATTGGGTAGTTTATTAGTATTATGTTGGGTGGTTTGATAATATTAAGAATGGGATGGGTATGAGGTTAGAAATTGGATGGTTGGGTGATTGGTCAATATTTTTAGGGGGGGGTGTTAGATGTGGTAAGTGATGGATAGTAAGCATTAATTATGGATGAGCTCGGTTGGGCTGGTGGGATTATAACGTCTAATAGGGAACTTTCAGCACTAGCTAATTGAATTCCGCCTTTTCTAGTTTATGTCAACAGGGCCAAAATGCCAGCATTCTGCTCTGGGTCGATTGGTTAATTAAGCCGTGGGAACGGAAGGTGAGTTCTAGTACATACATATGACTAGTTCAGTTCAACTGTGCGTGTATCTAGTTCTCAAGATGTTCCCGATTAAATGGTGTTTTGGAATTTATGCAGATTTTTGGCTAGGTCACTGTATGGATATTTGATATGTTGAGGGGGTGGGTGTGTAGTAGGATGGCCATGTTAGGGATTGGCTATTCATAGTGGCACCTTGATCTTTGTCAAGGCTCTGGCAGTGGGCTCGGTGAGCAAAATGACGATATGTGGTTGCACGGGGGCAAGTCAGTGCCATGGAGTCACTGCCGTCGTGTGCTCTTCCCATCTGCTCATCTTCAGGCAGGGAGCGATTGCTAAATCTGGGAGCCCCTTCAAAAACCAACCTGTGCGGATCTAAATATGTCAGTGCCATTGGAGTAAGGAAATGTCGGACTATCGTGTTCTACGGCCTGGGGCGTTCTGCTCGCATTTTTCCTCACTGGGGGTGTAGACTAAAAGTGTCGTACATATTAGAAACCTTTTTATCCGTAATGGTTTCAGATAAAATATCAACATATCTTCTTTTGTTTAATTATGAACAATGACCACAAAGTACATTTATACTATGATTTTCACTATTCTTATCGTTTTGTCTGAAATGTGTCAGAAATTACTAATAAACAGCTCAAATAGAAACATTTGCAGATGCTCAAGTTTAAGTTTCATCTAAAGTTCTTTTTGCAAAATGGTCGACATCGTGTCATTTCTCATCTTTTATTTTCAGGATGCATATTTGTTAACATGTGTTTATCAAATGCACACATAAGATTGGGTTTATAGAGCTCTGCATTGAACAAACAAACTCCTCATCCATCACTTCTGTGGGAAATACATACAATTTTGTTTTTAATGCAAAGAAAAACTGATTCTGTTTCTGATGTTTTAACTCAGCAGAATACTGTTGATTTTAGCTTGTTCACTGGCGTCTAATTACAAATTTGTTCATCATTTAATGCAATTAGTTATTAGGTATAATTATGATGGATGATAGTTTTTCTTAATCTAGTATTCTCTTGTCTTTGTTGATGACTGTGGGAGCAACACTTACAACTACTTTCTTCTTTAGTTGTTTGATCTAACCCTAACCCTCAAGTTCTATTACAAAATAGTGTAAATTGTTCGAAAGATTACGTCTGGGGTAAGACAGTATTTCCACCAAACAAGATTAAACACCCACTGATTTCTGCTGTCACTGTGTCCTTGGGCAAGACACTTAACCCCACTTTGCCTGAAGCCCCAGCTGGAACAGCAAGACCCCTCCTGTGGACTCACCACCTGCAGGAGGATCAGTGAGGGGCTGGTGCTATGTGACTTGAGTGCAGCTCTGACTGCCATCCCCCGACCCAGAAATGGATTAAGGAGAAGAAAATGGATGGACGGAAGATGAAACAGTTATAATAATAATATAATATAAGTCATTATGATTATTACAAAAGGTCTATGCAAAGAGTAAACCAGAGCTTTATATGCATTACATGCAGATGTCTGATTTGTTGTGAAATAAAAAAAATAAAAAAAAAACATTACCTTAAACTAAGGGAGTCCTGCATAAATGACCATACAGCTAAATGAATACTTTGTGGAACCTCCTTTTTCTGCAACCACTCAAAAAGCTTTAGGCACATCTTGAGACTGAGACTTTGTTAGATTTGATAGAGCACTGGACCATTCTAACACATACTTTTGTTTTGAGTCTTTATGCTTAGGGAAATTTGGACAGTGTTTTGCTGAGATTAACTAATAACTAATACTTGCTTGACATAGAGGCTTCCCCAGGTGAGCCTGAGACCCCAGGTCTGTAGCATGTCTGCATCTGTGATCAGTGCATCTGTGATCAGTGTTGTCCATGCTGGACTGGAGCTGTGAGTTTGGGGAGACAGATGAGTTTGGGTAGATTTCCATAGAGGAAACAGCAGGGCCGGAGTGGGACAACATTTCAGGCCGGGAGCTTTTCATCCATTCAGGCCAAACAAGGTTCTAAATTTGGGTTTTTGTCATTGTATTTTGATGTTCTTTTAATAGTTTTAAGATTGACTGTCAAAACTTTTGTTTTCTTTATTTTTTTTTATATTGACTGTTTATATAATCTCGGACGTTTAAGGATTGTTGTACGTTGCTTAGCAACGTAACGTTTATGGAGTTTAGTGAGAATAAAGACACACACACACACACATACACACACAATGAACTAAGTGTTCATTAGTGTATAACTATAACAAGCTAATCAATTATTGTTAAAAAAGTAGTAAGGTAAAATCACATCGTTACAGCTCATATAAAAGGAAAAATAAAAACGTGTATGAACCATCAGTTGGAGAGACCACTCATTTCAACCGGGGAAGCTACACTGGGTGCACTGCTAGGCTGGCCTGGCTGTGTAGCCGACGTGTGAGGTCACATTTGTTTAATTTTGTTCTGGCCCAATGACAGTAAAGCTTTGGCCAGTGTTGTGCCAGTTCACAGCTTTTCTGAACTCTTTCAAGTTCAGTTCATACATGCTAAAAGTGTAACAGTTCACGGTCGAAGTTCTCAATTTTAATTCTGACTACTCAGTTCATTTTACTTTTTGCGAGATATTATAAATATTTCTTTTCACTACGAGCTAGAAATCACAATACGTGGTATCATAGAATATATCGCCCCGCCAGTGATCAGATACCCTGCAGGAATAATCAGGTGGCCGAAGAGATTCAGACCACGGATGTTAAAACTCGAAAGCTCCTTACCATGCATGGCGGGTTCCATCCCTCCAGCACCCTGACTGTACGTAAGCCGTAAAGAAGGAGGCCGAGGACTAGTGAGTGTGAGAGCCAATGTCCAGGACGA